GAATAATTTTGAGTTGACACGACGTGAGTGGATTGTTTTGTGTTGTTGGTTGTTATTGTGATTAGTGTTATTATTTGGGAGATGGTGGATGGTGAGGGTTAGGTGGAAGTTGGGTGGGGTTGGTTTGGGTAAGTTGACTTTAGGGAGGGTTGGTTTGGGTAATATTGATTTGGGTGGCGTTAATTTGAGTAGGATTTGGGTGGGTTGATTTGGGTAGCGATGGTTTGGGTGGCGTTGATTCGGGTAACGTTAATTTGGGTAGGGTTGATTTGGGTAACGTTGGTTTTGGTATCGTTGATTTGGGTAACGATAATTTTCGGTATGGGTAATGTCGTTAATTTTTGATAGTGTTAACCTTTGATATCGTTAGTTTTTGGTACCCGTGATTCGGGTAACGTTAGTTTTTGCTACCCGTGATTCGGGTAGTGTTAATTTTTGGTACCCGTGATTCGGGTAGTGTTAATTTTTGGGTAACGTTGACTTTTAGTATCGTTAGCCAGTGGTAGCGATGGTTTTGATGTTGTTAACTTTTGTTGTGAATATTGACGAGATTTTAATGGTAATTGTTAAGTTATAATAGTTTTAGCGGCTCATATAGAGGAGTGGCTGGCACCTCGGGCGGATGCGGTGTTACGATTCCTGATATTGCCTTTACGGAGGACTGCGAGACCGTTAGTTGGATTATTTATTATTATTGTTATTGTTTTTATTATTTATTGTTATTTATTATTGTTATTATTTATTGTTATTTATTATTATTTATTGTTATTGATGTTTCAGTGAGTATGTTCTGCGGAGTCTGCTGATAACGTTGGTAAGTGACGTGAAGCTACAAGACGACTACGAAACGCAGTTGGCATGTGTCACAGTACCTTTCTTGAGTCGTATGGTACAGAGTGGAGAGTTTTCGTTGGGCGATGTGATGAGGGCGATGGATTTCTCGGGAAAGATGGAGATGGGCAGGAAAGTCGTGGAGATTATTCCCAAAGAGCGGGTAGCGGTGTTCGCGTACATGTTGGGCATGTTTGTGAGGGCGGATGCGGGTGGGTTTTGATTTGGTGGCGTTGATTTTGGTATCGATAATTTGGTATCGTTGATTTGGTAGTTGCCTTTTAGTATAGTACAGTTATACTTATATGGTTATAGTATAGTACAGTTATAATTATATGGTTATAGTATAGTTATAGTACACTTATATAGTTATAGTATAGTTATACTTTTTAGTATAGTTAATTTTGGATTAGGTTACCTTTTTAACGGTTAATTTTCGATGTCGTTACTTTTTGGTATGGTTACTTTTTGGTGACGTTACTTTTGGTATCGTTAATTTGGTAGCGTTACTTTTTAGTACAGTATAGTTATACTTATA